GAGAGACAGAGCCTTGGGTTGAGCATGAAGAGGGGGGCGCCTGGGTGGCTCAGTTGGTTAAGCATCTGCCTTCGGCTCAGGTCATGACCCCAGGATCCTGGGATCGAGCCCCACATCGGGCTCCCTGCTCAGCGGGGAGTCTGCTTCTCCCTCTGACCCTCCTCCCTGCTTGTGCTCTCTCTCTCTCTCAAATAAATAAGCAAAATCTTAAGAAAAAAAGAAGAATGCGAGGAGGTGGGTCTTAGCTCAGTGCGTGACCTCCCGAAAGTCACATGAGTCTCTTTTCCTTGGTTATCTTGTCAGTAATACCTGCCTTGACTTACACACAGGCTTGTGTATGATGCAAATGAAACCAGGGCTGTAAAATGCCTCTGAAATCACACAGAACACAGCACGAGGGTGCGATACTACCATTTCCTGACTACGCTGACTGATTTCATTCATTCAGGTCTGGTTTTTGCCGAGTAAGTTAATTCTCTCAACTTTGTTTTTTTCTTCAGTGCCTGTTACGCCAGGCACTGAGGTTATCGTGAGGAGCAAGACAGTCCCTACCCTGGGGAGCTTCTAGTCTAGTGCGGGAGGCAGAAAGTAAACAAATACATCCTATCTAATAGCTGGTTGTTGAAGTGCTACAGAGAAAAATAAGGCAAAATGAGGAGGTGGGCTGAGGAGTTACAGGGAAGGGTACTAATTTTATTTTATTTTATTTTATTTTATTTTTAAAGATTTATTTATTTGAGAGAGAGAGAGAGTGTGGTGGGCGCAGAGGGAGAGAGAATCTCAAGCAGACTCTCTGCTGAGCTCGGAGCCCAACACAGGACTTGATCCCATGATCCTGAGATCATGACCTGAGCCGAAATCAAGAGTCAGACACAACTGACTGAGCCACCCAGGCGCCCCAGAGACAGAGTGGTGAGGGGCACATCTCTGAGGAGGTGATATTTCAGCAGAGGAGAATAGAGTGAGGGGGTAAGGCCACGTGGCTGTCTGCGGGAAGAGTGCCTTAACCCAGGGGGACAGCAGGTGCGAAGGACCTAAGATGAGAATGTGCTCACTGTGTTCTAGAAACAGTAAGGAGGCTAATGTGGCTTGTAGGTTATAGTAAAGGTGTTGCATTTTATGCTGAGGGTCCTGGTAGATTGTGGAGGATGGGAGCAGAAGCAGGAAGCAGGAAGGGATATGGCGTAGAAGCAATAGAATGAGAAGAAATGGTCAGACTTAGGTATGTTTTGACAGATTTGCTGATGCAGTAGATGCTGTGGGGTATGAAAGAAAGAGTCAAAGTTGATGCCAAGGTTTTGGGCCTGAGCCAATGGGTCAGTCGTGCTCTTGAATTAAAAGTGGGAAAATGGGGGAAGAGGAGAATAGGTTTTTGTGGGAAAAATGTTCTTTTATTCCCCCTCCCTGCTCTTATTTATACAATTTAGTACTTCATCTAACTCAGTGATTTCTGATAGAAAGTCATCTGCAGGATTATAAAGAACACCTGCTCCCCCCCTCCCAAGGTGAGTCTTCCCTATTAATGAGGAACTCATAATGAGGAACTTCCTCCAGAGTTGGGCCAGAAAGCAGGTTGGACATCATCGACCTACTTAGTTTGCTTGTTTTATGGGTGAGAAGAACAGAGCAGAAGAGGTTGTTGGAATGCCCAGTGATAACAAGGCTAGCTGTGGTCTTCTGGTTAACAATTCATTTGTGTGTGGTTAGTTTCTCTTTTCAATTTGATGGTAAACTCTTTGAAAGCAGGAATCATGTCTTAAAGTCTTTCACGTTTTCCTTCTTACCTAGGAGAGTGCTGAGTAATAACAGGCATCATTCCAAATATTAGCTTGAACGTAAAACCTAACGGAAAGAAAATCAAGTCTTCTGCATACGCTGATGCCTATGATCTTACCAGCTCTCGTAGGTAAAGACATATCCATTGCTGAGTTTCCCACTGGAGTTGGGGCATCAACAAAGTATAAACACCAAGGGGAGAGATAGATGAAGGTCAGCCTTGAACTGCCAAACTTTCTTTTCAAACTTCCAATGCAAGGAGAGAGGCATTAGGGAAGAATTTTCACTTTGGTCTACTTTGGCCAGTCACAGCGCAGCTTACTATTGCTTTTATATCGAACTGTGTGAGTGAGACCAAAACCGTTCTTTCAGTGCTTAGGGCCTTCATAGCTCTGCCTTCGGCCCCGGGAAATCTTTCCTGTATGTCTGCTGGCTCGTGTGTGTTTGATGTTAATATTAAACTGTGCCCACATTGTACCGTATTCTCTAATACGTGTTAAATATATATGTAGATATAAGTAAAGGCTGTAGTTCTCATTTGTTGTTTTTGAGATGCTCAATCAGTTTTATTACATCTGTTTTATTTTCTCCTTCAGTAGTTTGTAAAAATATGCTCTTGGTGTGGCAAGAGCCACCAGGGGGACAGTCCAGCTTTAACTTTGGAGGGACAACGTCTGCTGTCCGCGCAGGTGCAATGTACTAATTTGGGTGGATGGCTGCTCGTAGCTGGGGACAGACGCACTGCCGAGGTTACTCTATGTACCTCTGACCCATTGCACTGGTCTTTTTTTTTTTTATGTGTGTTTTATTTTATTTTTTTAAAGATTTTATTTATATGACACTGAGAAAGAGAGAGAGCACAAGCAGGGGAAGCGGCAGGCAGAGGGAGAGGGAGAAGCAGGCTCCCTGCTGGGCAGGGGGAGCCCGATGCGGGACTCGATCCCAGGACCCTGGGATCATGACCCGAGCCAAAGGCAGACGCTTAACCGACTGAGCCACCCAGGCGCCCCCCATTGCACTGGTCTTTAGCACTTGCTTTTTTCAGTGGTCCATACGCAACCTCCCATAGGAGTCCTATTTTGAACCAGAGTGGTGCTTGCAGGGAAGTGGTAGAGTCAAGGAATGCGCTTTGTAAACTCACCCTTCCTTTCCCTTCTCCGATGCTTTCGTCCCCCCATCTTCAGAGTCAGGTGAGACTGAATGATTACTCTAGGGAATAAATCTGGCATCTTGACGTCTTAGATCCTTGGGGCCCACCAAGTAAAGTAAGGCTTTAAAGAAATACATCTGCCACTTTGACAAGGTGGAAGCAAGTTGTGCTTCTGTTTGGCACATTTGTGCCCTTGAGTAGAGAGGGCAGCCCTGTGTTTAAAATCTTAGTCTAAAGAGTCTTGCCTGGGTTTGTTTCTCTAAACGTAGCATCTTCTTCTTCTTCTTCTTTTTGAAGATTTTATTTGTTTATTTGACAGAGAGAGATACAGCGAGAGAGGGAGCACAAGCAGGGGGAGTGGGAGAGGGAGAAGCAGGCTCCCCGCTGAGCAGGGAACCCGATGCCGGGCTCTGTCCCAGGACCCCGGGATCATGACCTGAGCCGAAGGCAGACGCCTAACGACTGAGCCACCCAGGCGCCCCACGTAGCATCTTCTTCTGTAGGTTCCAGAGTGCTCAACTAAAAATGCAGTTGATACAGCCCCTTGGGGGTATACTCCCTTATTAAAGCATAGTATTTGCTTCGTGTATGCAGTGCATTAAGTGCTAGAACGAGACTAGTTGACATTTGTTGAATGACTCTTCTCTTCCAAGAACTGCATCGAACACTTTCTACACATTTCACACCTGGTCTCCCTCCCACCTGCCACCACCAGAATAGAAGCAGCACCTGTAACAAAAATGCATACCTTGTCAGGACAGAGATTTTGATCTTTCTCCTATATTCCATTTTTTCCTCATTCCCACGAATGAGAACAATGCCTACCACATACTAAGTACCGAATAAAGGTTTGTTGGATAAATGGATTATCTTATTTACTCCCCGGCAGCCCTCAGAGGTAGAATTTGCTCTCCAGATTTGCTGGTAGGTGGTGGGGCCAGGATTTGAACCTGTGTTAGCTGCTTGCTGTGGGTTGGGGAGCAGCGTAGAGTCCAGCCAAGGGTGACTTTCGGTTCCTGCCTTCGATCTCGTAGACATGAGGCTCAGCTACATAAAAGGTTCAACAACAGGGTAGCAGTTATTTCCAGGTAATAAGAGAACTGTGCAAAGTGCTAGAGGGGTTATAAGTGAGGGAGAGGTGAATGAACGTGTGCACATCGTCTGGAGCTGTGCTCGCTGCGTGTGCTTGCTACGTGTAACCACTGTTTTGACCGCCACTATGGTTATGTCACCATCATTTTCTGTGAATCCTATGAACCAGACTCCCAAATGAATGACTGTTCATTTGTGGGTTGAAATGGCCAGAGATGGTTTCGTGAACAAGATGGTCCTTGAGGCTTAGACGGAATGTGGGCAGGTGGGGACAGGAAAGGAGATACTTGAGATGAAAGTCCTATAGACTGAGGCCGAAAACGTGTGTTTTCTGTTCCTGGGACAGCAAGGAGGCCAGTATGTCTGGTGCAGAAGGGGTGGGTGGGCTACTAAGGCGAGTAGAGATTAAGACTGGTAATTCAGAATTTGTTTATTATGTTGGGAGCGCCACATTATATTTGTGAGATTGGATTCGAAACCTTGTATGTGTTTCTGTCTGTACGCAACCCAACCCCCTTTAATAAGAAATTCTGTGGTCATTTTTAAATGCCGTAATCTGTGGTCGCAACATTGTATCTTGTTGAGAAATAATAACATGTGCCTTTGGTGTTACGTAGCTTGTGAGACAGACTTTGTCCTAATAAAAAGGCCACTTCTATTTGGCCTTATGTTTTTGAAATTTAAGACCCTCATTTATGATTATTGGCTCTAATGTATCTTGGAAGATGAGTGAGGGTATTATACGCTGCTCTAGTCTCCTTAGCAGGCTGTAAGTCTCTGGGGACCGGGCCTGTGCCTCATTCTTCCTCGTACCTCTTCCAGTACTGGGCACGGTTGCTGGCATAAACGGAGGATGCAGTAAATTGTGGTTGAATTGAATTTTCAGAGCATGTGAGGCTGGCCACCTCTGCATGGTGTGGGGAGTAATTTGCAGCAGAGCTATATTTTTTGAGTTATGTAACACATTTAATCTTGTTCCTAGGTCCAGCCTGATGACTGGAGGGGCTAAGCGAGGAGTCCCCAACCCTTGGCTCTTTGAGGAGCCGGAGGAGATCAGAGGTTTGGGTTTTGATGAAATCTGGCAACAGCAGCAGAAAATTATCCAAGGTACTGAACCCCCCAAGAGTGTGGGCCTTTGTCAGATATTTACTGCAGCCTTGAATGTTCCTTACACACATTGAAGATCATAGGGAGAGCCGTTGGTCCTTTAAAACTCTTGGTGAGGGGCGCCTGGGTGGCTCAGTCGGTCAGTGTCTGCCTTCGGCTCAGGTCATGATCCCAGGGTGCTGGGATCAAGTCCCACATCGGGCTACTGGCTCAGCAGGGAGCCTGCTTCTCCCTCTCCCTCTGCCTCTTCCCCTGCTCATGCTCTCTCTCTGTATCTCTGTGTCTCAAATGAATAAATAAAATCTTTAAAAAAATAAAAAAATAAATAATAATGGTGATTTTGTGCCTCAGGTCCTGAGGCATATAGACAGATGGTGTCATCCATCAAGATGGCCCATGGAAGTGGTGATTCTCCACTGGTGGGGGGGAGCACTCACACAGCTCTGACTGATACACCCAGGTGGGAATCCGAGGTACGTGCCTCCCTCCCTTTACTCCCTGGTGGGACTCATCCTCCAAACACAACACTCCCACCTTTTTCTTCTACAAAATAAACCCACTTGGCTTTTACCTCCAAGTTCATCTTGTCCAGTGCCTTTTTAAGCCTAATTGGTTTCTTACGTTCTTCTCTTTTTTAAATTGCAGAAGTAATGCATGATTGGTTATGGAAAGTTCAAACAATACAGGGATGTGTAATGGGGAAAGTTCTCCTTATTGGTTCTCCAGTCTCAAACTGTAAACAGATCAAGGTGTGTTTCCTCGGGCTTTTTTTCTACACACATATACACATGTAAGCACACATATTTTTACATCAGTGAGATCATGATATAGGTAATATGCCATAGCTTTTACTTTTTTTTATTTAATGTGTGTCATAGACATTTTTCATGTTCCTGTTTTTGTGCATGGTTTTCGTGTATTACAGATACGTTATTCTTTCTAATTCCTTTTTTTTTTTTTAAGATTTTATTTATTCATTTATTTGAGAGAGTGAGAGAGAGAGAGAGAGCACATGAGGGGGGGGGTCAGAGGGAGAAGCAGACTCCCTGCTGAGCAGGGAGCCCGATGCGGGACTCAATCCCGGGACTCCAGGATCATGACCTGAGCCGAAGGCAGTCGCTTAACCAACTGAGCCACCCAGGCGCCCTTTTCTAATTCCTTTTAAAAACAGTTTTACTGAGATATACTTGACATGTCATAAATAGCACATATTTAAAATGTATGATTCAGTAAGTTTTGACATATGTATGACACTGTGCATGTCCTGTACATTTTTTTATCAGATTTATTCCTAAGTATTTCATGGTTTTTATTTTCTTATTAATGGTATTTTAAAATCTCTACTTCTGATTGTCGCTAGTGTATAAAAGTACAACTGATTTATGTATATTGATCTTGGATCACGCAACCTTGCTAAACTCACTAATTTGTTAAGGGCTTTTTTGTAAAGTCCATAGGACTTTCTTTTTTTTAGAGCAGTTTTAGGTACATAGTAAAATTTAGTTGAAGGTCTTTTGCATGTGAATGTCTAGTTGTTCCAGCACCATTTGTTGAAAAGACTGTCTTTGCTCCATTGTTTTACCTTTGCTGCTTTGTCAGAGATCATTACTATATTTATGTGGGTCCATTTCTGGGCAATCCGTTCTGTTCTATTGATCTGTTTGTTCTTTCATCCGTACCACAGTGTCTTAATTACTATAGCTTTAGAGCAACTCTTGAGGTCAAGTAGTGTCGGTGTTCTACTTTTGTTTTCATGCAGTATTGTGTAAGCTATTTTGAGTCTTTTGCCTCTCCATATACATTTTAAGAAAGTCTTTTTTTTTTTTTTTTAAGATTTTGTTTATTTATTTGACAGAGAGAACAAGAGAGCACAAGCTGGGGGAACAGTAGGAGGGTAAGGGGGAAGCAGGCTCCCTGCCAAGCAGGGAGCCCGATGCGGGGCTTGATCCCAGGACCCTGGGATCATGACCTGAGCCGAAGGCAGACACTTAACCATCTGAGCCACCCAGGCGCCCCTCTCCATGTACATTTTAGAGTCCGTTTGTCAATATCCACAAAATAACCTGCTGGGATCGTGACTGAAATTGCATTAGGTCTATAAAGTGGGGGGAAGACTGATGTCTTGACAAATTGAATCTTTCTGTCCACATACATGGAATATCTCTCTTTTAGTTCTTTTTTGATTCCACTCATCAGTTTACAGTTTTCCTCATATAGATCTTGTACATATTTTGTTAGATTAGACCTAAGTACTTCATTTTGAGGAATGCTAATATAACTGGTGTTGTGTTTATTTCAAATTACACTCATTCATTGCTGGTTTATAGTAAAGTGAATGCCTTTTGTATATTAACCTTGTATCCTGCAACCTTGCTATAATCGCTTATTAGTTTCAGGAGATTTTTGTTAGTCCTTTTTGGATCTTCTCCATTACATGACTGTGTCATCTCCAAACAAAGTTTTATTTCTTTCTTCCCAATTTGTACCTATTTTTTTATCTTGTCTTGTCTCATCTAATTGCATCAGTAGAACTTCCAGTACAGTGTTGGAAAGGAGTGTTGGGAGAGGACATCCTTTCCTTGTACCTGATTTTAGTGGGAAAGCTTCAAGTTTCACCCCAAGTGTGATGTTAGTTCTGGGGATTTCGTAGGTATTTTTTATCAAGTTGAGGAAATTCTCCTCTATTCCTAGTTTACTGTGAGTTTTTAATCACGAATGAATGTTGGATTTTGTCAAGTACTTTTTCTGCATCTAGTGATAGGATCATATGATTTTTCTTTTTTAGCCTGTGAATATAATGGATTACATTAATTGATTTTTGAATGTTGGACTCGGCATACATACCTAGGATAAATCTCTCTGTTTGTGGTGTACTATACATCGTTGGATTTGATTTGCTAATATTTTTTTTGAGGATTTTTGTGTCTATTAACATGAGTGCTACTGGTCTGTGTTTTTCTTTTCTTTAATGTCTTTGTCTAGTTTTGGTATTAGGACAGTGGTGGCCTCAGAAAATGACTTAGGAAGTATCCGCTTTGCTTCTGTCCTCTGAAAGAGATTGTAGAGAATTGGTATAATTTCTTCCTTTGATGTTTGGTAGAATTCACCAGGGAGGGGTGCCTGGGGGGCTCAGTCTTTAAGCATCTGCCTCCAGCTCAGGTCATGATCCCAGGACCGCATCGGGCTCCCTGCTCCACGGGGAGTCTGCTTCTCCCTCTCCCACTCCCCCCACTTGTGTTCCCTCTCTTGCTGTGTCTCTCTCTGTCAAATAAATAAATAAAATCTTTAAAGAAAAAAAAAAAGAATTCACCAGTGAATCCATTTGGGCCTGGTGTTTTCTGTTTTGGGAGGTTATTCTTAATTCAATTTCTTTAATAGATACAGACCTATTCAGATTGTCAGTTTCTTGCGTGAATGTTGACAGCTTGTGTCTTTCTAGGAATTGGGCCATTTCGTCTAGGTAATCAAATTTGTGGGCATAAAGTTGTTCATAATATTTCTGTATTATCCTTTTGATGTCCATTAGATCTGTAGTGGTGTCCACTTTTTTCATTTCTGATTAGTCATTTGTGTTCTCTTTTTTTTTAGTTAGCTTGGTTAGAGGCTTATTGATTTTATTGATCTTTCTGGTTTCATGATTTTACTCTGTTGATTTCTTATTTAAATTTCATTGATCTCTTATTATTTCTTCTGCTTACTTTGGATTTAATTTGCTCTTTTTTAAAAAAAGATTTTATTTATTTAAGAGAGAGTGAGCGAGAGAGAGCACAAGTGGGGAGGAGAAGGAGAAGCAGGCTCCCGGCGAACAGGGAGCCCGACACGGGACTGAGTCCCAGGACCCTGGGATCATGACCTGAGCTGAAGGCAGATGCTTAATGGACTGAGCCACCCAGGCACCCCTAATTTGGTCTTTTTCTAGTTTTCTGAAATGTGGAAAAGACTCTTGATCTTAGACCTCTCTTCGTTTCTAACATATGCATTCAGTGCTATAAATTTCACTCTATGTACTGCTTTTGTCATATCTGGTAAATTTAGTTTTGTTTTCATATTCATTTACTTCAAAGTATTATTGAAGTTCCCTTAAGATTTCTTTTTGATCCTGTGTTATTTAGAAGCATGTTGTTTAATTTCCACATATTTGGGTGTTTTCCAGTTATCTTTCTGTTACTGACTTCTAATTTAATTCCGTTGTAGTTTGAGAGCAGACATTGTATGATTTCTGTTTTTAAACATATGTCAGTGTATGTTTTATGGCCCAGAATGTGGTTTATCTTGGTGAATATTCCATGTAAGCTTGAGAAGTATATGTATTCTGCTTCTGTTGGATGAAATAATCTATAGATGTCCATTATAGCCAGTTGATTGATAGTGATGGTGAGTTTAACTTAGTCCTTACTGATTTTCCTGCCTGCTGAATCTGTCCATTTCTGATAGAGGGATGTTAAATCTCAACTGTAATAGTGGATTTATCTATTTCTCCTTACAGTCCTATCGGTTTTTGCCCCATGTCGTTTGATACTCTGTTGTTTAGGCATGTACACATTAAAGATTGTTGTGTCTTCCGGGAATCAACCACCTTATCTTTAGGTAATGATTCTCTTTGTCCCAGATAACTTTACTTTCTTTGAGGTCTGCTCTGTCTGAAATTAATATAGCTACTCCTGTTTTCTTTTGATGAGTGTTAGTACAATTTGTCTTTCTCCATCCATTTACTTTTAATCTATATGTGCCTTTATATTTAAAGTGGGGCTCTTGTAGACAACATGTAGCTGATGCTTGTTTTTTGGATCCACTCTGACATTCTTTTTCTTTTAATTATTGTGGTTTTCCTTCTTCATTTCAATCTGGAAGCCTTTTATTTCTTTTTCTTGCCTTATTGCTCTTGCTACAATATCCAGTACAATGTTGACTAGAAATTGGGAGAGCAGACGTCCTTGCCTTGTTTCTAATCTTAGCCGGGGAACATTCATTTGGAAGCCAGGTGTGAATTTTTCTTTTTT